TGGTCTAATCAGTTCTGCTCCCACAGAAGCAAGCTCATCAGTGCAGTTGAACCCTTTGTCTGCCATAACTTGATCATAAGGTTGTAACTTGTCCAACAGTCCACTTTGAGCTGTTATTTCCTTGTCAGAAGTTGAACCAGGAAATAGCTCACTGACAAAACATAAAGCACCACTGGGTGTTATACCAAGCAAGGCTTTCATCGTCGTTCTAGACTTGTATGACGAGTAGCAAGCAGATTGAGAATTAAGTGCTGAAGGTTTCTCCATCTCAAACTCTGTACAGTCCACAATAATGACACAGTCTGGATAGAAGGATTTGAAAATGTCAGGCATGTAGAGTTTGAGAACTTCCCTGGGTGGAATAGTAATAAGTGGCTCAAACTGTCCCCTCAGAAATCTCGTCCAGGCCCTTGAAACTTTGGATACAAGGGGTCTTGAGACACTAAACCGATGAGCAAGGTCCTTTTCCAGCAATCCAAGCCTTAATCTCACTAGTGTCAAAGTAAACTCTTGGAACTTGGTTAAACATCGAGGTCTGCCACACTGAATTCCTGGGTGCGTTCGTTCATGTTCATATTCAATATGCTCTGCTGCATCTTTAACCATGTCGAAACATATCAGCAGTGCATTATAGTCTGGTAAACCAGTATAAAAGGCAATGTCTTCAGCATTGTCTTTATATTTCTCAATATCGAAACGAAAGTTTTCAAGAGAGTGTCTTAGTCTTTTTGTTTCTTGCTCGAGTTTTAAGTTTGCCTCGAGTAGGTTTGCATTTTCTTCACTCAACTTGGCATTTTTCTCCAGCAGCTGATTCTTTTCATTTGTCAATTCACTGATGTCCTTTTTAAGCTTTTGCAACTCCTTTAACATTGTTTCGATTTCCAATCCTGTGAGAGATGTTTGTGTCTCACGATTGTTCTCATGTTCGACTGTCACTGATGCTTGTGCCATGTCTTTCTTTTCCTCCCTCTTCTTCTTTTTTGCTTCCTGAATTGCCAGATTTTCTTCGAAGCTGATGACTCTTTTTAGCTGTCGTCTAGTGCTTTCTGCCTTTTTCCAAGGAAATATAGTCGGCAGATAAGCTCGACTGAGTTTCTCGCCACCTTCGAAATGGTCTGAGCAAATTCGAGTATTTGTGGAGTCCAATTTTAGCGAATCATTATTCAAAATGACTTTGTATTGCTTTCTGGTAAACTCATCTTTCGGTAATCTGTAGAAATGCAGATGTGAAGCGTTCCTAAAGCTGTTTGTACAGCCAGGAACGCAACAATTATAGTGAGGCATTTCAGAATTACTTTGTAAATATGACTCGTCTGTCCCTTCAATCAATCCATAGATGCTTTGCGGTCCCAACTCGAACCCAATCCCTGACTCGTTTAGAACATGGGGAATTGTATCTCGACAACTTTTACTCCTCACCCTATTTATTTCTTTAATTGAAAACTCTGCCAGGCTTTATTTATTTATTTATTTCAGTTTAAGAAATGCAAAGCATTTAATTTATGGCAAGCAAGAAAAACAAAAAAAGAAAACAGAGAGGATCAGGCTCTTCGACTCACAGTGAGTCCGACATGATGAACGAACAAGGAGACCACGAAGACATTAGAAGCTCTATCGACGCCTTGATCAAAGCTTTGGAAGCGGGATTCGCCAGCTTACGCGCCGACTTCGAAAAACTTAGACAAGAACTCAAACATGAGATAGAAGAAATGAAAAGTGAAGTAAAATCGCTAAAAGAAAGCGCGAGATTTACACAAGACGAGGTGGACACGTTGAGGGAAGATTCAAAGAGAAACACGGAGGAAATGAAAGAAGGTCTGGAAGATCTCAGCATGAGAGTGGCACAGTTGGAAAAGAAATTGGAAACTGCAGTAAAAGAAAATATTAAGCTTGAACAATATACCCGTCGAGAAAACTTACGTTTTAACAATATTGCAGAGCAGGAAGGCGAGGATTGTAAAGCTCTGATTCGTGGCGTAATTCAAAACGAAATGGGCATAGACGCGTCGCACATAAAATTCCATGCAGTTCACAGAGTGGGTAAGAAAATCCAGAATAGATGCAGACCCATCATCGCCCGTTTCATCAGCCGTGAAGACAGGAACAAAATTTGGAGCAACAGAGGTAAGATAAAGCATTCAAAGAATTATCCCGATGCCTACCTAACCGAAGATTTCGCGAAAGCGATACAAAATGAAAGAAAAGTATTAATCAAAGCGATGATGAAGGCAAGGGAAAGTCAAGGGCATCCAAACGCGAAGGTTGTTGGACGATATCTTTTAATTAATAACGAAAGATATGATTATAAGAATATCCCAGCCTACTTAAAGTAATTTATCCTTTTCCCTCTTCTCTTAACAAAACAATTTTTTTTAAAAAAAACCTATGCAAATTTATCGCAAGGACTAATGAGCTGACCCATCCACCTATTATGATTATGACAGTCAACTCTGCTGGGACTCAAACTGACAATGAAACTTTTTTATGTGTGCTTTTTGTCGCCTTCTTTTGTATTTATTCCGCTTGCTTGAAAACACAAACATCATGTTTTTGCTATAATAACCACAATGATTTTAGTTTAGTTTCTCTGCATGGTTTTTTCCTAATGTTCTCTTCTCTGCTAAGTTTACGGATCTTAACCCTTTTCCTCCCAACGTCACATATGTGTGACAATAAATGTGGCTGACCGATGCTGAACCCACTAGGGGTGAAATACTTGATTGCAATAGCCCCCCTCTGGCTCATTTGACGCCTGGCGATTTTTGTCGGTTTCTTCGGTGTTTTTCATGTGAATCTGCCTACTTTTGACCGAAAAAATTGCGATTCTTTTCTGTTCGAGTTTTCGCGCGAAGTTCAGGAACAGCTGATCAGTAATGGCTTCAACTTCTGGAAGTGAATTTGTAGTAAATTCGGCTGCAGAGACTTCTCAAACTTCTCAAAACGTGGATTTACTCAGACTTTTATCAGACTGACTCTCAGGCTGAAGAAAGTGACGAAAATGAAGAATTACAACAAGCAGGTCATCCCAGGAAGCGGAGACGTACAGCACAGGGCGAAAACGATGTTGTGGGCGATCCTGTTTGGGTAGAAGACATCAGGACGCATTCAGACCTGCCTTTCACCCAACCCACGGGGCCTAAAGTTCGAATGGGAGCGGATCAAAAAGACCCAGTGAGTTATTTTTGTCTGTTTTTTACTGATGCCTTGCTTGATCTAGTTGTGACACAAACAAGAGAGAGCCAAAACCCCCTGACAAACACCGTATGCCTTGGCACGCAGTGGACAAGTGAAATAAGAACATTTATTGCCTTGATTTTAGCAATGAGGCTGGTAAACAAACCTACCATACATAGTTACTGGTCCACTGATGAGATACTTCAAACACCATTCTTCACAAATTGCATGTCAAGGAATCGGTTTACACAAATTTTGAGGTATATACATTTTGTGAACAATACACAATTAATTCCTAGAGGTCAAGATGGATATGACAAACTGGGGAAAACTAGGCCCTTCTTAGAACTAATTAAAAACCGGTTCCAAAGAGTTTATGCCCCAAGCAGGAACCTGTCAGTGGATGAAACCCTTGTGAAGTTTAAAGGACACCTTTCATGGAGGCAGTATATGAGGGACAAACCAGCAAGATTTGGCCTCAAGGAATTTACTTTGGCTGACTCTGAAAATGGCTATGTGTTAGACATAAATGTTTATACAGGCAAGGAATGTGGACAAGAGTCTAAAGGTTTAGTTCAAAGAGTTGTTTTGAAACTTGTGGAACCATTTTATGGACTAGGATACAATATATTTATGGATAATTACTACACCTCAGTTCAACTTTTTGAGAAGCTTTATGATCAGGGTCTTCAAGCCTGTGGAACATGTCGGGGGAATCGGATCGGTCTTCCTCGAGATGTGACAACATCGACCTCTGCTACTGTAAAGAGGATGAAACGTGGTGAAGCAATTTTCCGGCAAAAAACATCACCTCACTTGTGTGACATGGAAAGACAGAAAACCTGTGACTATTCTGACAACTTTACCGGCTAATGAAGAAATGGGAGTTGCTGAAAGGTCAGTGCGAGAAGCAAACGTCTGGCATAGGAGAGACTTTGCCTGTCCCATACCAGTGCAACAATACAATTTACACATGGGTGGTGTTGATGTTGCAGACCAGAGGACAACTGCCTATGCAAGGCTCATGAAAGGCTGGACATGGTATCTAAAACTCTTCTATCATTTCTTGGAGGTGTCAGTTTTGAATGCATATCTTGTTTACTGCAAGGGAAAAGATGATGATCAACCAGATCTGAGCATGATGGATTTCCGGATTCAGGTAATCAGAGGTTTACATGGTGGAAGGAGCTACAAGATTACCCCCACAGCTGCTGCACCTCAAATATCAAGATTGAATCTGTCTTTGGGACACTTCCCAGTCAAAGTTGACAAATGGTGTGCTTGTAAAGTTCACCTGCAGCGAGTGTTGACTTCATACAAGTGTGGACTGTGTGGAGTACACATGTGCCCCAGCCCTTGTTTTGAGAAGTACCACACCCTCCAAGACTATTTGTATGATGACCCTGAATATGGAGCAGCAACCCCACGTCTGAAACCTCAGAATCCTGGCAGGCCTTTTGCAAGAGGAAGACCTAGGCAGATGAGGCAGTGAACTCTCCTATGAGTAGCGGAACATTGACCGTTGGTTGTCAAAAACTGTTCACTTATTGCTGTTGTTGTGACACACCATTGCCAACAGCATACTGACATTGTAGCACTGGTATGTCCAACTCCATGCTTATAAGAGATATTATTTGGTGTTTCCTTGTTCAAAAAATTATGTTTTCTGATTGTTTATTCTACAAATGTATGTACTCATAATTCATGGGATTATGGACATGACTGTTCCTTTTGATTAGTTAATAATTAACCTGCAGATATTTGAAAAACTTGGGGAAGGCAGTTATGCTCAGAAAGGTTGTTTGGATCAGTCTGGTAAAAAATAATAGAGAGTTTTAGATCCGAGTTTACCTCGAACCTCTAACCTCTGGAGGTCACGTGACAAGCCCTTCGCGTCACGTTCGAGGTTTACGACGTGAGTTTTCAACGTGGAGAGGTAGGTTTTCACGTATGTCATTTACCTGAAAGCTTTTAGCGTATAATTCTTGTTTTATCCCACGTAACCATACGAAAATCTTGTGGAGCAAGTCTTTATTCATTAACAGAGGCACAAATTCGGGCGAAATGCTAACTTTGGTAAATGCTATTGAATCTTGAAAACAAGTGCCATTCATTGCTGCTAATTCAAAATGGCGGCCGTAAATTTGCAAGAAGAACTATGTAAGAATTTACAGCTCTTTATTGCTAGATAACCCAGTGTTACTGTAAATTTCTTTTGTTTTCACTGATTGATATTTCTTCTATTTCTACATGGAAAAATAAATTTAGAATGGCTCCATTTCGTTGGCCAGAGGCTCGACACGAGCTGGCACTTGCCAAGGAAGTAGCTCAACACAACCCCGAGAAACCTGATGAGTGGGAAGCAGTAGCTAGGAGACTCGGCAAAGCATTTTCTACGGATTCATGTACCGTTGAGCTTAAGGGAAGAGGCTGCCGTGAAAAAATGGATCGGATTTTAACCAAATACAAAGAAGAAGACATGAAAGCTTTAAAGAGGTAAGTTTGCTGTTGGTTGGCTTGTTTATACTCACAACTGAGCAAAACGTTCAACCCTTTGTTTTCATTAGTCACAATTACAAATGTACGAAAAGTCCATATGTTTGTTTCTCGTATTGCTTTCCTTTTCAATAATCTGGCTCTTCTAATGGTCAAATGTACAATCTGTCACGAAAATAAATTTTCATCCAAAACATGATTTATGGCCTTCAGATTTGCTTAAGCTTATAATTTGATACTGTGTAATGGAGTATAAAACCAAACTGAAATTTTGACTCTGGCCTACACTATTCACGCTATTATTCAACTTGATTCAGGGCAAATCCAATCCTTTATTATCATAAATTTTACAATTTACAATTTTTACAATTTTCCTGATTAGCTCCTGCCTCCTCATTTAGGTTTTATACAACACTGGCTTAGCATTTATGTCAAGATTTTTAATTCTCTCCTTTATTTTGGATTTGTGATACCTGGTTTGTAATGGGTTTACGGAGGTCTTGGATACAAGCACAGACGCAAGTGCGGGCATATCAAACAGCAATGTCAGAACAAGCTGATGAGTGCCAGAATTCAGTTAAGGTCCCACCACCAGCCACTTTCCATTAGATCACAATGAATAAATACTTAGCAACAGAACTTTATCAGACTTTGTAGCCGGATACTTTTTGGGAACAGCCAATGATCTACTTCAAAACATTCTGACTGCACTGATCAAACATACTACAACGTGACTGTAGTGTTTTTATTATTTTTTATGATTTTGAAGATCAGGCACAGAGGAAGAATTCACTGAGTTACAGCAGTTATGTGAGGATATCTTAGTGTATAGAAGAGATATGATAGAGATGCGACAGATAGAAAAGGAATCAAGAAAGAAAAGGGAGCAGGAAGATAAAAGGAAAGGGGAGGAGATGCGGCAGGCAGCGGTAGAAAGACTAGCAAGTTAATATCCAATTCAATATTATTTTGTGCAAACAAGCGTAGGTTATAGTGATGATATCCATAAGGACTGTTTTTCTTTTGCTGTTTTACAGTCTTTACACAATTTTCTGACAGTTCCTGTTTTACTTGGTGGTTCATGATGTGTTGTGATTGAGCACCATATAATTTAAGTGCCAAATTTGTCACTTGACAGTTTGTGGTTTTAACCCAGTTTGAATAGAACCCATGAAATGCAGAATAACAAAATTGCTTTCATTTTAGAGCGCCGTAGTGATGCTGGCACATCAGGTGGTGCCACGGTGGATGTGTCTAGTAGTGGGTCAGATGAAGAAATTCCTTCAAAAGGTAACCTTTGTGAAATCGAGCAAACTATTATTCCAACTTCTCTGACTGATTGGTTGCCATAAATACAGTATATGAAATTGATTTTCTCTTTTTACTGGGGGCCATGAAAGGAAAGTAATGTGTGGTGTAATAAACAAAATGTTTGTTTGATGAAATCCATATATATAATATATATATATATATTTTTTTTTATTTAAGCATATTTGAGAGTCTGCCTCAAGAGCTTGACTGCTCATCTATGGGACTCAATAGATCCATAATTTTAATGTGGTTGCTCAGTTTTCTGCCACACTGTGATTACATATTTCCATCTCCTTCCCCACTCCTGGGGGGAGAGGGGGGCTTGATGCTTTGGTTGTTCTTTTATATAAATAAATACAACACTTTTTCTTTTCTTTCTTTTGTAATTTATTTCTGCAGGAACCAAAAAGAAAGTTGCCAGGTCAAGCAGAAAGTCAGCAATTGAAATGCTGTCAGAAAAGTACAAAGAGAAGGCAAAACTGAAAGACAAAGAGCTGGAAGTGAGAAAGATGGAGCTGGATCTTCAGAAACAAAAGTACGAAGATGAAGCTGAAGAAAGGAAGCTTTTGTTCTCCATGCTTCGAGAACAATTGAAAAAATAAATCATTTTGTCTTTAGTTGCTCTTGAAGCATAAGCTCTTACTTCTGCTTCATATTCATACTTCTGTTTTACTTTATTGACACCCTTTAAACATAATTTGTCTTCACTGGAGGAAAAGAAAATAAAACATTCATCTTCTCTTGTTTTATTTCACTCCTGTTGCTATTT